CGGCTCCTCAGCACTTTCTCTGGCTTCGGAGACTGTGACTGGAGGGTTGTGGCCGTCCGGGGGCGATCCAAAGTCACCTCACCTGGGGCCACCTCATCCTCGGTTTCAGTGTTTGGTGACGGTATCTCCTCCACGATTCTTTTGGGCAATACTGATAGAACAGGGTTAAGGAGCAGTCCTGGGAGGGCGCGAAGGTCCTGCCAAGGCCAAGGCAAGCTCTCCCCACAGTAACTTGCCCCAGGACCCAGGCCCTCCGGGACATAATTACGCCTCCAACTGCGTGAAGCCCAAACACACCCACAAGGGAGCCCTGGCCCAGTGGCCAGAGGCCACACTCAGGACAGGAAGCCATACCCTCGTGGCCTGAAACCACACCCCGATGGGAAGTTATGCCCCATAAGCCACGCCCCTGAAGCAGGCCACTCCCCTGAAGCCGCCCCCACACACACACCAGGACCCTGAATCCCACTTCTCTCAACTCCCCAGCACTGACCTGTGACACGAAAATAGATGATCGTGGCTGGACTGGATTGCACGGAGCCCAGCTCGCAGCGATAGGTGCCTGCATCCTTTGGACGCACCATGGTCTTGGTCAGCGTGGGCTCCTTCCCCTTGGACATCAAGGTCTCAGAATTGTTCCCCCAAACCTAAACCCAAGCTCAAGGGGTCACACAGGCCTCGGGAATTCAGGGGTTGGGGAGTACAGGGGTGAGAAGATCATGGGGCTTCAGGGTGTACTGGTCAGGGCATGGGTTCCCAGGGGATCAGAAGAAGCCAAACTTGGTAGGTCATGGGTCATGGGCATTATGGGTGCAGGCCTGTGGATACAGGGGCCAGGGGGCTCATGCAAGCCTGATGGAGTTCAAGGGTAACGGGAGTTGGAGGGCCCCACCCTGTAAAAGCTGTAATCGGTCAGGCCTTGAGAGAGTTTATGCCAGTTGAGCTCACAGTCCAGGATCATATCTTCCATCTGATGGACCTTGACTTTGCGCTCTGGGAATAGGCGGTTACTGTGGGATGCTCTTTCACGGTTCTGGGCCCTCTCCCAACCCCCTTCCACTTGGTCTCGCCCCGCCTTTTCTTGTTGGCTGTCTCCAGTCTCCGACCTCTTTAGACTCTTGATCTCTCCTCTGGCACCGCCCCTCTTGCGCCAACCCCTCCGGCTGGGCCCAGCTTTCTCACCTCCGCAATTCGAGGACTTTCGACAAGAGTGAACCTGCTTCTGGCAGGTACTGCACCAGATCAGAGGCTGCAACATCAAACCTGAAGGGGCAGGTTCGAGGCGGTGTTCTCCCACTAACAGGCGGGGCTAAGAGGAGAGGGCAGGGCCAAGGGCTGGGGCGGGCTCAAGAGCCGAATCCTGAGGAGGTCAGCCTGCGGGGCTGGGCTAGAACACAGCCCTGTAGGAAGCCGGTCTAACCAAGCTCAGTAAAGAGTGCAAAAAGTATATGCCCGCTTCCCAAGAAGTCCGAGGTGCAAAAGGAATACGGGAGACCCAGGAACCTCTCCACGTGGAGAATGAAAAAACACACAGACCCAAAAGAGGGAGGCTGGGTATTCACGGGGCAGGGATGAGGGATAGAGGACCAGTTCCCATAATCCGGACTCACCACATTTGTTGGGACAAAACGCTGCCTCGGTATAAAGAATTAAAAAAAAAATCAGATTTCTACGTTAAAGGGGATGAGAGAGGGGGTGAAGGAACAGGCTAGGGCTGGGGCTCTTGAGTTCCAGGAAGGAAAGACTTGGGTGTCTGGACCCCTGGGTCTGAGGGAGGAAGGAGTTGGGAGAGCTGATGGATGGGACTCGGAGAAGCAGAAGGCTGGGGTCAGGGACTCTTGGACTGTGAAAAGAGAACGCTGGGATGCCGGCCTCCCATCTTCTCTCACCCGTTTTTTGAAACTGAGCAGCGTAGCTGGCAAAGTTATCCTTTGCCAGGTGCAACGTCCATAACAGCTCCTTCACGAAGAGCTCGCCTGGGAAGAAGCAGGATGACGCAGAGGAGTCCCCACCCCCACCCTCCTGCTCCTCCCAGATGTGAGGCACAGGAAGTTGACCTCTGCCTGCAGAGCGTGGCTTTTGGGTCTCCTCAGGGAAAGACAATACAATTTAATGACCACTTAACATAATGCTGGCCACTGGGCTAAGCAACAACTGGGATGAAGGCTGTGTTATGGTTTCCATTTTAGAGGTGACAAAGCGCTCAACGCCACACAGCTAGGAAACCGGCAGAGCCAGAATTTGAACCTAGGCAGTCTGGTTCCAGAGTCCAGTACCTGACCACCAGACCAGGTGTCACCAGCAATCACTTCCCTGAGAGTTTCTGGAAGCCCCTCTCCTGCCCCCTCTGTGCATTTACCTTTTACATCACTGTCCGTGATGCGTTTCAGATCCTTCAGCAAACTCCAAGCTGCCTTTTCCAGTGTGGCCTCATCTGTGGGGGGAGATAAACCCCAGATTCCAAGCATTGCTGTCTCATTGGCTCACCTAGTCTTAGAAACTACAACACCCACGGGGCCAATGGGCAAGGATTGGCCTGGTAAAGGGATTAACCCACGCCGTTGCCTTCTGGGAGTTGTAGTCTTATTTATTACATATGGAATAAAATTGCAGGATAAAAGGTAGGGAGAACAGTATTTGCCAGCCCTGGGGAACCCCAGAATCTGCATCCCAGCCTTCTCCATTCCCGAAACCAGGAGACTGTACCTCCAGCCCTTTCTCCCCAGCACCTCCCAGTAATCCTAGCCCCAGACCCCTCCTTTCCCAGGACCCAGGAGTCGCACTCCGCCCTCACCGACGACCCCCATATAGGAATCCTCGTCAATCGGCAGGTCCTTGAAAGCTTCCACTGCCTGCTTTACCCTTTTCATCACGTTTTTGTGATGCTTGGCCTCCAGGTGGCCAGGCAGGTAATCCGTCTCCAAGGAGTTCAGCGCCTCCACGACGTTTGGATCACACATGACACAGCCCCGGGCAGGAAGCAGGCAGCCGGCCAGAGCCGCCACCAGGAGGGGGAGCCGCCACGGCCCCATTGCGGCCAGAGCGCGCAGTTCGCGCCGAACTCCGGGGAGGCTCCTCTTACCCCAAACCGAGAAGGTGAACGCTAAACGGAGAGAAACCCTTCCCCGAGACTAATGGAGCCCCAATCTGCAGGGCGCACACTTCTCATTAGAAAACCGAGGAGTCCCGAAGCACTCTAACAGCCGCAGCCCGACCTTGACTCCTGACTGTTGCACCTTCCAACACTAGGGTTCGCTGAAGAGTCCAGGTTCTGAGGGCTTTCAGAGAGGAAGAACAGGCCACTCCTTCCACTCTTTTTCCCTCGACCAAAATTAAAGATTTTGGCGGAGGAGGGTGGTGAGGGTGAGGTTGGTTGCGCGGTATAGACAGTTTTTAACTGGGGCTCATAGCCACGGTTCGCCCCTTACTAATAGGAACTCCCCAGCCTCTGCCTTCCGGCTACCCACGCAGGGTCCCAAATTCCCAAGAGATATTCCCTGAGGTTTCCTTGGCCCCGCCCAGAAGCCCAACTCTTAGCCTGATTGGACCGCAACAAAGGGAGGCCCCGCCCATAGCTCCGTGATGTCACAGCCCCCTTTTCAGACTAGAACTTTCCCAGAGTCTACCGAAGGGGGCTTACCCTGGGGACTCTGGTTTCCAAGCTAAGGAAAGGGCTTCTAGCCTTCAATCTCCGCCTCTCTCTGGGCCCCAGGACCCAGGCTTTTGGCTAGCTGCCCACGGCCCTCGGAAAACTGTCCTCTAGCCACGAAAACGTGGGAAGTGGTCCTTTCTAGCCCTAGGACTACGACTCCCAGAAGGCCCTGGGGTCTCTCCGTAGGAGATTACTGGAGACAACCCCATAGCTTTATGGGAAATGTAGTTCAAGAATTGTAATGTTGGGACTTCACTGGCGGTCCATCGGTTAAGATTCTGCGCTTCCACTGCAGGGGACTCGAGTTTGATCCCTGGTGGGGGAATTAAGATCCCGCATGCCAAGCAGCGTGGACAAAAAAAAATTTTTTTTTTAAATTATAATCTTTGCTCACTCCCCCATCCACCCCTCCTTCTTTCTCCAGCCTCGGGCTGGATGCTGAGGTCCCAGGGGAAAGAGAGGTCTGGAGGCCAGTGCTGAGAGTCCGGGAAAGGAATTGGGTCTCTGAGACCATAACTCACACAAGTGCACTAACAAGAGAGCAGGAACAGTATCCCAAGACGTGAGAAGTGAGAGTCCCCGGAAGCTCCACATCTTTACTCCTACTCACTTACACACACCCTCATGCACACGAGACTCAAAAAAACCTGCAGAGTGCTTCCCTGGTGGTGCAGTGGTTGAGAGTCCGCCTGCCGATGCAGGGGACACGGGTTCGTGCCCCAGTCCGGGAAGATCCCACATGCCGTGGAGCGGCTGGGCCCGAGACCCATAGCCGCTGAGCCTGCGCGTCCGGAGCCTGTGCTCCGCAACGGGAGAGGCCACAACAGTGAGAGGCCCGCATACCGAAGGGGAAAAAAAAAAAACAAAACCCTGCAGAGATGGGTTGGTGATGAGGATTTTTAATTCATACTTCCCTCTCTCCCACCTATGGCAGCTGAGTAGGGACTGGTCCTCCAAAACTCCCTGAGAAGACTAGAAAAGGGCTTAAATTCTCAGACAACTCTGTGATTAAAGTGTCTACCTTCGCTTCCTTCAAAAAGCCTCAAGGGAGTCCTGAAATCTGAGTCAAGAATCCCATCCTCTTTGGCCAGACGCTGTGCTCCTGCCTGGGTTGGAGACCAGTCTTGGGTCTGCATACCTTCTGATTCTTTCATCCCTGACTTACCCAAAGCCAGATTTAGAGGCTCTGTGAATTCAGGGGCAGAGAGTGGTTGGCAAGGGGCACAATACCTGCAGCTTTCTGCAAGCCCACAGGGCACCCTTACGCCAGCTGACTTCCAGTAAATCAACCCCATTGTTACCGAGTCCAAGCTCGCTGCATGACAGGCCAATAAATTGGGAGATGAGGTGTTGAGGAAAGGAACAGTGACTTTATTCAGAAAGCCGGGTGTTTGAGAAGAGGGCAGATTAGTGTCCTAGAGTACCATCTTATGGGGCCTGGATGCTAGTTTCTTTTATAGAACAGAGATGGGGAGGATGTGACGAAGTAAAGTAAAAAGGCCATAAGTCTTGCAAAACATCTCCTGGCTTGGCCAGCATCCGGGAGGGGGTGTGTTAATTTCTTCTTTCTTGCAGTCCTTCATGGGTGCGTGGGCAGGATGTTTCCCTGTGAGCTGAACAAAGGCACTTTGGTTTAACATTCAGTCAGAGGGGCAGAGTTCCCCATGCAGACCATCATGTATGCTTATAGCTATAGATAGCATCCTTTTAGTGATTATAGTAACAAAAGCAAGGGAAAGCAAAAGTTAACATAAAAGAAACATCCAACATTGAGTCAGATTTTGTTCTTCCCTGTTACACCATCACTCCCCAGCAGCCCAGCTGCAGAGGAGGAAACTTCCTTAACTGGGTAAAGCAACAGGAACTTGGAGCCAAGATGTGCATGTCTACCTTTGGCAGTTTTGAGCTTAAAAAAAAAAAATGGTGTCCCTAGATCTCTGCAGAGCCTTGCTCCTTAAGCTGCAGCATTCAGCAGCATCCCTTCCCCCACCCCTCCCATGTTTTAGCATCTCTGTGGTTTTTCAGGGGCTGAAATGTTGGGTAAAGTTCCACTTGTCACACAAACTGCCCCAGCTACAGAGAGTTTGTCGTTCATCAACCTTTCTAGCAGTGGTGAGGTGTTGGGCTGCTGGTTTTACCTTTGTTAGCTTCTTTGCCGAGATAATCTGGAATTCCAGAATCCCAAGCCCTCTGGAAGGTCCCCACAGGGTTCTTTACAGGCATTAGAGCTGACCCTCTCCGGAAAAAATCCCTCCTCTGGAATCACGCCAGAAACACAGAAGGGAAGTTGGTGAGTGCTTGCTATAGCACATCCATGAGTTCCTTCTGTCCTGATGACCCAGGGAAGAGAAATATCTCTTCTCAAAAAGACCAGGATGGTCAATGCTGGAACAGGGAGTTCCCTGTTCCTGGTGGGGCAGTGATCTAGAAGTACTCTGGATATGGGCTGGGAAGAACAGGTGGGCACTGTGCATTCTAGAACTTCCATGAGCTTCTGCAGAGTTGCCAGCCATCAGGAAAAGATCTTCCATTGGTTCTAGAATGTTCTGGCAGTTGCAGAACGCCAGCCCCCCTTTTTCTCCAAGTCTAGCCAACTAGAATCACTCTAGAAATGGGTGTCCACCAGCTGCAGGACCACCAGCTTCTCCAGAAGCTGCTGGGCTTCCAGAGATACATAACACTGGCCCTAGGTTGATCAGACTGTTTCAGAAAGTCTCCCTGCTGCTCAGTGCTCAGCCAACATCTGGAGTGGAGTCAAGTCTGCATTAATGCTCACCCACTCAGGCAGGAAGGCGGCCTTGGGTTTAAAGATATTCAGGAAGCTGGAGTTAGGCAGGGTAAAGTTGGCCAGGTAGACGGTGTCTCCACCAGCCAGGTAGGCGGCCCAGAAGCCGAAGGTGCCAATAGTCATGATGGTGTGGTTGCATTGTGTGAGCAGCGCGAAGTCCTTGCTGGGGACATCTTCTTGCCCATCGCCAGTGAAGGTCACATCCCCCTGGGAGGTGTCGATGTTTTCCCGGCACCACTCCATGCCGTTGCTGGTGACCACAAAGATCGGGGCTTCATGCTGGGCCCGGAACCAGTCCATAGCCTGCTGGAGGTAAGCGCGATCACCCACTACACCCTTCCAGTGATAGGGCATCACCTTCACGTAGTCCCCACGGCGCACGTGGACACCCACGAAAGTGCTCGGGCGGTCCCCCGTGCGGCTGAGCCGGAGCTGACTCAGTAAACTCTGGGCCTCTCGCCGAAGGTGGTCGTGCAAGGTGAACTCACTGCGGATCTGTTCCCGGATATGATGGAAGAAAGTCCAGGAGCAGGGGAAACCGCTGAGCTTCAGCCAGGGCTCCTTCAGTTGGGCGTACTCCTCCGACATCCAGTCGTGAAGCTCCAGCTCCCGCCAAGGTGTACGGCTGTTCACCTCAGGCGCCAGCACGGGCAGGGTGATGCGGAACACGGGGGCCAGGGTGGCGTGCATGGCAGGCTGGATGAAGGCCTGGCGGCCGTTGAGCTGGGCCAGGGCAGCAGCGTGGCGTACTGCCCCATCTGGTTCCCAAGCCGGCCGTTTGGGTAGATAGTCCAGGTTCCTGAGAGGGAAGCAGGATGCTTGGGACAGGAAAAAGGGGCGTTGGGGTTTATGGGTGTGCCCGACAGGCAGATGATGGCCACAGGGGATGTCACTGGGTTACGGTCTGGACATAGGGCAGACAGGCCTAAGCCATTGTGAAAGAGGTCTTGGCGGATGTGGAAGAAGAAGATTGAGGTAAAAACACAGGTTAGCAGGAAGGTCAGACAGAGGTGACGGAGCCTGGGTGCCCACATGGCTGCAAGGGAAGAAAAGTGAATTACGAGATACTCGAAGCTTGAGAATGAATGTCAAGGAGGAGAGGCCTGAGAGAAAGGAAACTCTAGGTTTGGAGACCTGGGTCTGAGGGAAAAGGGGATCAGGGCTCCTGGATCTGAATTAGGAGAAGCTAAGGGCTTGGAATCGCGCAGATGGAAGATGGTGAAAATTAGTGGTTTCCAAAATAGCAATGGTCCAGGACCCACCACCTTGTCCTCACATCTTGGAATTTCACTCTCCCAGGCTGTAAGGTCCACTGACGTTGGACAGTGTTCCCCCAACTTCTTTCTCAGTGAACCTGTGTGTGAGGGGCAGAGTCCACCAGGGAGGTGGCAGGAAGCAACGGGCCAAGTAGAACATGAGAGGCTGGAGGTCCAGGCCTGGATAGGGGATCTTGTTTCCTGGAGAAGCAGGAGTTGGGGGTCGGGGTGGAGGAGACTCCTGGGGGTCACAGGGGGTTAGAGGTTGGGGGAGCGCCTCCTGGGACTGAAGGCCCGATTCCTGGGTCCGAGGCATCTGCATTTCTCACTTACCTGAGCTCCACAGTCAGCTTGGCGTGAACGGAGCGTTCCGGCCCCAAGTGCAGCCCACATCCGGCGGCCCCCGGAACCCTGGACTCCAGGTTCCCAGGCCCGACAGCCCTCCCCCTCCACGCCGCCTCCCCCGACTGGCTGCGAGGGCTCGGGAAGCGGAGGTGGGAGAGGGGACGCGGTCCGGAGGATCCCAGGCCCGCCCCTCCCCGGCCGGCAGGTAGCTCGGAGGCGGAGCCCCGCCCCTTCCCTGGCGCCGAGCCCCAGCTCCCAGTTCTAGGGCCGCAGCCCCCGCCGTCTGCCCTCCCCCGGACCAGGAGACCCACGCCCCAGCCCCCCTCCTGCCTGACATCGGCCAGCGAGGGGCAGCCTACCTGGCCTCCTAGCAGCCCATCCTTCCGTGGACACCGTGATCTAGCGCCCAGCTGCAATGCTGGACTTCGACCTCTCCCTCTTCCCCTCCAGTTTCTGGGTTCACCATCCGCCCTGTGTACCAGGATGCGCCGAGTCCGGCCACGGCCCAGCGGCTTCCGCCCCCTGTCGCGTCCTCCCGTGGAGATGCAGAACCTGTTAACCTGGCTGCTCCCCGGGCGGGTGCAAAGCCTCCGCCGGCTCTGAGTCCCGGCGTGAGAGCCTCTGGCGGGAACGTGTCCCCGCGCCCACCAGGGGCCGCCGATCCCCCCTCCGCCCCACCCACCCTCAAATTCGAGAGTCCCGGCTCCCAGTCTCTCCGTCTGAGCGAAGCCTAGCGTCCGGCACCTGACGGTGAAGGGAACGTCCCGCCTCTCCCGAGGACAGGAACAGAGAAAGCAGAAGTGGAAGAGAAACTCTCTTCCGCAGACGCCGAGGCAGACCCGGCTAGGAGCAAAAGCCTCCCTCTTTTGCAGACCTGAGGCGGCTTCCCTCCACCGAGGCTTTTTCCCGCCAACCCCCAGCCTGGCCCGAGCGGTCTGACCATTACCATTCAAGAAAGCAAAGACCCAGGAATTGGACTTGACTCTCTAGAGATCCGATCATAATTTCTCCAGACCCAGGATTCCCAGCCCCCAGCCCCCTCCTCAGAATGAGAAGTCCGGGCCTCCAGTCACCTGCCTCCTTCAGATCTGGTGTTCAGACTCTTGCACGTTTAGGTTCCAGGAAATTGCCCAACCCCTCATTCCCTTTGGGATCTTGGGTCTAACTTCTCCCTCCTGAGCCTGCGTCAGTTGTCAACTCTGAGTCAAAGATTCTCACCCTCCCCCAACTTCCCCAGGCTATTCTGAGGGCACCGGTCTGATCTTGGTTAGCTTCTCTGGTGAAAGAAACATCAGGATTGCATCAGGGTCCAGGATGAGGAGGCTGGGATGTTTGGTGTGTGAGTGCCTGGGCTGGGATTTGTGGGCAGGTTGGTCTGAAGCTCCCACACCAGGACTCCTGTGTCCTTGAGGAGAACGCTTGGGTCATGCAGCACTTGCTGCTTTCTTAATGACCAAGGAACCTCAGTGTCTGACCCCCAGAAACCCAGAAAGTCAGGTGAGATGCAGAAACGCCAGTTGTGGGACACCATCTGCATCAGTCAGGCAGAGAGGTGGATCCCAGCCCCCTTCCTGCTCAGACTCAGGAGTCCAGGCCCCCAGCCCCCTCCTCCCTCAGACCCAAGAGCCTGAACCCCCAGCCTCCTGCTTCTTCAGACCCACGAGTCTGAAACCCCAGCTCCCTCCTGCCTCAGACCAAACGGTCTGGGCCCCCAGCCCCTATCACTCAGGTCCCACTTCATCACATTTCTATCCCCCTGATGCCTCAGACCCAGGAGCCCAGGGCCTCAGCTGGAAGGACCCCTGATTGCATCATCCGATCAGGCTGACCTGGCCACCGTGGAATTCTAGCATCTGCCATGTGGGTCAAATATCAAGGGTCAAGCGTCGGGAAGGTGATTGGGCGGGTCTGTCTGGGTATAAATTCTGGAGTATCTGCATTCTTCCCAAGAGATTTGGGTGTCCTGTCAGCTGTGAATCTGCGTGCAAGAGGACCCAGGCATTCCAGCTACCAGAGAAGCCATCGTGAATCTGCTCTCCCCGACAACCAGGCTCTGAAACAGAATCTAGACCATTCAGGTCTTCAAAGCCCAGACCCCATACCTCACTTGAGGACGTGAACCGTTGATGGGCTGGGACAAGACCAAATTCGAGCACCTGGGACTGTGGGTCCCTGTGCTAGCTGTCCTGCTGGGACCCTGCCAGGCACATCCCATTCCTGACTCCAGCCCCCTCCTCCAGTTTGGGGGCCAAGTCCGCCAGCGATACCTCTACACGGATGACGCCCAGGAGACAGAGGCCCACCTGGAGATCAGGGCTGATGGCACAGTGGTGGGGACGGCCCGCCGGAGCCCCGAAAGTGAGTGTAGGGGTAGGGCCTGGTCCTGAGGGAGGAGAGAATTGGGGGCTGGCCTCCTGGGTCTGAGGGAGGAGAGGGATGGGCAAAGGCCTTCTGAGTCCCTGATCACTTTCTCCTCTCAGGTCTTCTGGAGCTGAAAGCCCTAAAGCCAGGGGTCATTCAAATCTTGGGAGTTAAAACATCCAGGTTCCTGTGCCAGGGGCCAGAGGGGAGGCTGTATGGATCGGTGAGTTTCCAGGACCCCTGTCCCTGTGCTCCACCCTTCCTCTCCCCACCCTCACAGGCTGGGGGACCATGTTTTGCACCTTTGACCTTGGCCAGGCTTGGCTCGATGCTCTCTGCATGCCCCGACCTCGCCACAGTCCCTGGAGGGGGCAACTGTTGTCATCCATGTTCACAAGAAGAGGAAACTGAGGCTCAGGCAGGGCCACCACCGGCCCCAAGTCACAAAGCCTGTGAATGACAGAATGACCTGGGAGACCGAGTCTTGTGACTCGTAACCCATGCTGACCACACGGGCTCCTACAGACCTGACTCATGCTGGGTGCAGGGTCACTCTGGGAATCGATGGCCTGTAAAGTGAACATGACCTTGGGTGCTAGCCAGATGCCCCTGCCAGGACTTAGAGAGCCTCCACTGATCCCTGGGCTGGAATATTCTTCTCTGTGAAGTGAGGGCAAGGAGGTGAGCCTGGCGGGACTGCCTAGGGGTAAAGGAAGAGCCTGCTTCTGTGGTTTTGAGGAAGGGGCTGGGGACCTGGACTCTGCATCTGAGGAAGGAGTGGGTTCCCTGGCTCCCCAGGAGTCCCGGGACTCCCACATCCTGCTGGAGGACAGGACTCTGTGGTCTGAAAGAAGAGAGAGCTGGGGGCCTGCACCCCTGAGTGTGGGAGAGGATGGAGCTGGGGTTCCTGCAGGAGGCAGGTGTAGAGGAATCCCACGTCTCTGATCTTTGTTCTCATCCCCTCAGCTCCACTTCAACCCCCAGGCCTGCAGCTTCCGGGAGCTGCTTCTTGAGGATGGATACAACGTTTACCAGTCTGAGGCTCTTGGCATTCCCCTCCGCCTGCCCCCGCACCGCTCCTCCAACTGGGACCTGGCCCCCCGGGGACCTGCTCGCTTCCTGCCGCTGCCAGGCTTCCTCCCGCCACCCCTGGAGCCTCCAGGGATCTTGGCCCCCGAGCCTCCCAACGTGGGTTCCTCGGACCCCTTGAGCATGGTGGGACCTTCACATGGCCGAAGCCCCAGCTATACTTCCTGAAGCCACAGGCTGTTTATTAGAGTCTCCTCTTTATTTATTGTATTATTTATCTTATTTATTTTCTTTTTTTTCTTACTTGAAATAATAAAGAGTCTGAGAGGAGGATCAGAGTGAGCACATGTGTTTGAGGGAGGAAATGGGGTCAGCTTCCTTGTCTCCCCTTGCCCCCCCGCATTGCCACAGGCTGTGGGAAAGTCCCAGTCTTTCTGCCCCCCCTCCCCTGGCCAGCCCTCAGATTTCTGCTCCACTAAGTTGTTCCCAGGGACTCTGGACTATCCCTGCCCTTTGACAGGACAGGACTTGTTATTCTCCCCCTCCCCCTCCCCCTGTCCCCAACCTTGTGTTAATGTTGTGGAACTATTTCTCTGAGGTAACTCAATAACGGGGGACATTTTAAAAAAATGACACAGCAGACCCACAGCCTCATGGGAAATGTAGTTTTCTGGGTTCATTTAGCACTAGGAATGGAAAGACATCTTGGTCCTCAGTGCTGGGGCAAGGACTCTTGGATTCTGGGGGTGTAGTTGGTTCTAGGAACACACTCTTGGGTCCTGAGGGATCAGTGGGCTGGACACCTGGACACCTGGATCCTGGAGAACAGGGGAATAAGAACCTGGGCACGCTGGTCTGAGAGAGGAGGGGCTGAAGATTGGGAGTCCTGGGTCTCAGGGAAAGGACCTGAGAATCTGAATGCTTCCATCCAGGTGCTTATGGACTTTGGAGTGTAATGACTGTCACAGAATCCAGTCTCAGTGAGCACGTTGCCCATCTTCCTCCCTTTCCACAACTTAGATTTCAATATTGCTGTGCAAGTTATTTCCTGGTTAGGAAAGATTTGAAGTCAAAG